AGAGGAAAGAACCGCTCCCAGTCCAAAAAGAGATTTCTACGGCCCCAGGGAAACATGAAGATGAGGCTCGAGTGACACGTGTGAGGAGGGAAGAGCGCACAACCGCTGAGAAGAGAGAAGTGGAAACAGTTGCACGCGAGGAACCTCCGATAGACGTTATCAGTCCGGCAAAAGAGAAGGAACAAAGAAAGGCTGAAACACCGCTCACGACCCCTACAGTTTCACCTCGACCGCGACAACATTCTTTGGAGGGTGGCGATGTGCCAATTCACAAACAACCCCTCGCAGTTAGTCCAGTGCTTATGCCTGTCAACAGACTGACCGAGCAAGAGCTCGCAGAAGAGAGAAGGGAAACTGTAGAGAAAGAGGTGAAACAAGTGCATCCGATTAGGGAAGAAGCTCGGCCAGCAGTCCAGGAGAAAGTCGAAAAGCCTCCCAAGAAGAAAGACTCCATCATGGCTCAGGAGATGAAAGTGGTCCAAGAGAAACATGAAGACGAAGCTCCAGTGACTCGTGTGAAAAAAGTAGAGCGCAGGACCTCAGAAAAGAAAGTAGTCGAAACCGTTGTACGCAAGGAACCTCCCATAGAAGTCATTAGTCCACAAAAAGAAAAAGAACAAAGGAAAGTCGAGACACCGGTCGCGACCCCTACACTTTCTCCTCTACCTCGACAACATCGTATGGAAGATTTTGGCGAGCCACCACACAAACAACCTCCAGCAGTTAGTCCAGCGCTCGTGCCTCCCAATAGGCTAACCGAGCAGGAACTCGCAGTGGAGAGAAAGGAAACTTCTGATGTTCCGAAGGAGATAAAACAAGCGATTCCGATAAGAAGAGAAGCACCAACGGCGGTTCAAGAGAAAGTCGAAACGGCTCCCAAGAAAAAAGAGCCCACCATTGGTGAGGAGAAGAAGATGGTCCAGGAAAAACATGGAAGATGAAGCTCGAGTGACTTTTGTGAAGAAAGAAGAGCGCAGAATTACTGAAAGGAAAGAAGTCAAAACTGCTGTACGTAAGGAGCCTCCAAGAGAAGTTATCGGTTCACAAAAGGATAAAGAACGAAGAAAAGCTGAAACACCGGTCACAACCCCTACAGTTTCACCTCTACCACGACAACATCGTATGGAAGGTTTCGCCGAGCCAACACACAAACAACCTCCAGCAGTTAGTCCAGCGCTCGTGCCTCCCAACCGACTGACCGAGCAGCAACTCGAAGTACAAAGAAAGGAAACTTCTGTTGAGAAAGGGACGACACAGACAGATACTGTCAGGAAGGAAGCCCCTCCGAAAGCGCAGGAAAAAGTTGAAACTCCCGTCAAGATGAAAGAG